TGGAACACCTCGAGACGACTATCCCCTCGTCATTTGTACACGAAGTACGCGGACCATGACCGATCAGCTTCGTTTCCGTGATTCTTTATCTCGCTTTCAACCTCTGAAACCACACCGTGGTGCGACTGATGGTGCGTAATGATTTATTTATTTATTCTTCATCGCGCTATTTCAAAGAAAGGCAGCGGACAGAACGTATACTAATTGGAGACGTGTTTGCGTCCGAATGAAACGTGTTTCCATGCTCGTGTGACGTATATTTAATTTTCTCGCTCGTATCGACCCTCGTGTTTACACGCGCGTGGCGGATAAAGAATTCTCAAATTCTCCGTTTCCGATGAACGAGATATATTTTTTTTCTTTTCCTCTTCAACTCGAGGTTTCGATCGACGAAACTTGCATAACCGATAAAATTTCGATAGATTCAAGGGATTCGTTCTCGTCGAGAGATTGTTTCGCTAACGATCGCAGGGATCTCCTCGATCCCAATCCTCTCTTATATATTTCTTATCCCTTTTAAGTTCCACCGTCTTTCCTCCGCTCGAAAAATGGATCACCCCCCGATTTCGTCGGGGCGTACCACTCGCCTCGATAGGATAAAAGGGGGATGAGTGGTTTCGCGGACAATGAACGATCCTCTCGATGATCCGGGTGCGCGTTAAAATTTTCGAGAAAGCGGGAAGAAGGAGTGTGTAGCTCTCTTCGAGTAACATCGAAGTAATTTTGAACGAGGGGGAGGGGAGGAATAGTTGGGAAGAAAAAATCGAGAGGCTATTTAGGATTTCGAAGATGTTCGGGAAAGATAATTAGAGATTTCTTTGGAATTGGAAAGAGAGGTAGGAATAGTTAATTATGGAAAGTAGGTCTCGTTCCTAATCGTGCACGAAATTCACGCGTTTGGAGAGATCGAATTCATCGATGCGATTAAGAACGAATGAATCGAAGAAAGAAAAATTACCTCTTAAAATTCTATTTTCTATTTCGCTCGTTCGTCCTATTCGAAGACTCTCGAAAAAATAAATCTCGATCTTTTTGATTATTCTTAATTTTCCAGCGAATAGAAACATTAGCGCGACCATATAGCGTGACGAACATATGAAAAGAATAAGGCGAATATAACGATGACGTTGTTCTACGTTTGTTTTGTTTCGACGTGTACAATGGTTTCTCGAAAAGTCGTTTTCGGCGAATCGTTCGAAACGAACGGTTTAAACGAGCGGTCGGTCGTTTGGAGGGCGATCAGCGGCAACACTTTTTCTTACCTCGCGCCACTCGTCCGCGACTTTCTTCCTTTTACGCGTATCAGCTTTCCTCCTTTCTCGCGCACTCGTTCCTCATCGATCCCCTTACCATTTCCACGAACCAAGTCTATTTCTTCCAACGACAACAACAACAACAACAACAACAACGCTCCTCTCTTTCACCAAGGTCGATACTTTTCCATCGAGTAACAACAATCGTCCTTCTCATCCTCCCCTATCCCTAATATCTTTCCTCCTCTTCCTCCTTCTCCTTTTTCTTCTTCTTCTTCTTCTTCTTCTTCTTCTTCTTCTTCTTCTTCTTCTTCTTCCTTTCTTCTTCCCCGCTACGAATAAATCGGAGGATGATTTATTTACATTGCGCCGCGAGTCGAATCGAGGATACCTCGCTTGAAAACGATTCGATAAACGTACGCCGTACGTTTGAACGGTAAAAGTACGAACTTTTGGAAGTTCTTTGAAGAGAACTCGGGGCGGGGTCGAGCGGATGAGCGCGAGAAAGAAGAAAAACGAGAAACGAAAAAAAGGAGAGAAAGAGAAAAAGAAAAGGATGAAGAAAAATCGAAGGCGAAAAATTCGATTTTCCGCGAAACTTTGCGAGGCACTGGGACGCGTTGCGACGCACGAAGCTTGGATATAGCCGAGCGTGAAAGTTTGACTGGCCAGCGGCAGCTTTAATGATCAGCTGTGCTCGAGAGAGAGAGAGTTTTGCCTCCCACCAGAGGACTGGGCTTCTTGGCGTTCGACGATGATCCCGTCGATGTGACAGCCAGGATGCAAGCAACGATCGAGATCGATTCGATCTCGCCATTCGTTTTATATCTCGTTTGCGTTCGTCAACGACGAGGGTGGCTTCTTTTTTTTTTTTTGCTTTCCATTTCGAAACTCGTCTTCTTCGATTCGAGATTTGGTTTTTTACAGAAATCGTTCAGGATTATCCTTACTTATATGGCACATGTAACATGTAAAATGGAAACGAGAAGCAGAGAGGTGGTTGGTATAATACGTGATCGTAATAAGCGTCGACGGTTAACGATAAAACAACAATTTGCTGAACGTCCAGCAGATCTCTTAATTGTATCGTCCACGAATCATTATCTTATGTCGTTAACTCGATCCATCCATCATTTTTAACGATAATGGTTTGTTATTCTTGCTTCTTTTTTCTTCTTTCGCGCGCACACGATTCTATTTCTCATTTTCGGCGCAAAAGCGATTATTTTTATTTTTATTACTTTAACGTATTTTCTTTATGCCTTTTTACACATCGCGCGTTTTAAAGTGGCAACTTTGAAAAGAAAGTTGGGGAAAACGTTCAACGAACATTTGAACATTTTAATGCTTTCCATTTTAGTTTTAACGGTTTAATTTGTTGAACAAGCGCGAGCAAGATTTCGATCGATCGATCGATGATTAATTAATGCACGAGAGCGAGAAAAAGATCGGTTTTTAATCGGTCTTTCGATATTTTTCGAACTTGCCGTTACAAAAGGCAAAGCGTTCAAGGCCCAAATGAGAAAGCACGATGATTAATTTCACGGCCGGCCGTTTTAAGACCACCAATTTTTTTTCGAGGATGAATGAACGGTACTCCAGACGATACATAGTGAAAGTTGAAAATTCGTTAAATAAATCTTTGAAACACGGATTGTGTAACAAAGTAACGATGTTTTTTCTTCTTCTTCTTTTTCTTTTTTCTTTGGAACGATTGGAACGAGTTAAAATCCGTGTTCATTTAAATAGAATTAAATAACGGGTCTGGAAGCAAGAAATACACGATGATCCTCCACCTTGTATAGATACGACAATAAAACCACTCTCGTTTAAGTTTTCGATCTAAATAATTTCAGATTTCTAAAAAAAAAAAAAAAAGAAAGA